TAGAATTCCCCCTCCCTCCGTCCCCTAAGTATACGTACTTTACTTACAATGCTAAAATCCAGGGTTCGATTCCCCGCGGTGGACAAAGCAGATAGCTTAATGTGACTTTGCTCTGAAATGTACAAACTGTTTGTATAATAACTGTACATAACTCGAATGAGCAAAAAATAAAAAATAGGATGCCAAATGATGCCCACTATTGTTTTAACATTTATATAAAAACTAGCGAACCCGTGGGCCTATGACCCACATTTACAGGGCCTCTATAACACAGATTTAATGGTTGAACTACTATTTCAGACTTTTTCAGTTTAATGATCATTGCCGTTATAAAATACAAACTTAATTTATTTAAGCAAGTCACGAACGGTAATTAGTAGGTCTACTAAATCAATGCCATATTTGTAGTCCGCTTTCGAGGACTCCCCGTAAGTATTTTCACGAAATACCCGGGTTCCATAACAGGATTGGTGAAAAGTTTTATCTTTGTGCAAACCTCGGGGCCGAGATGATTCGTTTGGCATCATTTAGAAATTGGCGAGTCCAGCAGTTTCGGAGAAGGGATTATTGGGAAATTTCCCTGGATCACAAAGGGATGATGTGAAAAATTTTACCTTTTGTATCAACCTCGGGACAAAGACGAAATGTTTGGTACCACTTAGAAGTTGGTGTGACCAGCGGCTTAGGAGGAGTTGTGTGACAGACAGACAAACACACACACACACACACACACACACACACACACTGAATCTTCTTTAAATAAATATTCGAATTGTCTGTAAGTCAATAATGTGTACAAAAAAATTGTTGTTGTTGGTGATTCAATGTGCAATATTTCTAGGAGCTCAACAATGTTTGGATAAATGATGGGAACTAAAGTGTGTTATGCCACTCGAAAGTGGACCCTGTTATGGGTACTGATTGCAAGATTCGTTATAGAGGGCGTTCACGAGTTTATACAACACATGAAACTCCTGTGTATTAAAGTAACTATACAAGACAGTCTATATAAGTGCAAAAGTAATGATAATTATTAATATATTTCCTTACGAAACGTGTGTATACAAGGTTGTTTACTCCTTAGATCCCCACAGCTTACCACCGAAACCTGAATATGCGTATAATCACAGTTCTTGTATGTATAGTAATGCACATGCAACAACGAAAATAAAGTTTAAAAAGATAAAAAAAAAAGGTTAGATAAAAACACTAGCCGCCTTTATTGTGAATTTTACCAATTATCTTTCACTGGTTCCTTGAAGAAGTGTGGTACCAGCATAAGCAAATGACCCCTCCCCCCCGAACAATAATATAAGAAACAAGATGTGAAACTTGGATACACTGATATCCGATAGTTCATTATAGTTGGAAATATAGTGCGGAAATGTTGTGAAGAGTAAAATTAATACGGACAGCAAAGAGAGAACAAGTAAACAAGCAAACCTTTATCTGTAAGTAAACAACACGAGTTTTGGCTGTCGGAAAATTTCAGAGACAAGATATAAGGAAGACAGGAATAAAAAATCATAATATCCCACTTTAAGTTAGACCTAGTGTAGTATCTCACAAACATAATTACCTATGTTAACAATAATTGTCACTACATATACTCAGTGGTGACACGCTCCCATCTCATTCTAACTTGTACAAGTCTTTTTACCACCCCTTCAAATGAGTACAACCCTAAACAGGATTATGCGAGTATAAGCCTAATATCTGTGTGTGCTTTGTTTGAGCTAGAAGACTAACACTAGTTTACGACATTTGTACATGCACTTTACAAAGATGTCATTAACTACACGCAGAATGCTGAATGAAAATTGAAAAGTTTTCTGAATACACGGATATATTTTTCTAGCATGTAAGATAAAATAAGCAGTTCTTTCAACTGCGACAACGCGGTGAATCAGGATAGTTATATATATAATGTTTCTTTTTTTAATGACAACTGAAACTTAATATTGTGGTCACGTAGTATGATCATGTTTAAAACTAGCCAGACGGCAGTAAAACTGGTATACAAGTTAAAAAAAATTGAATCCGAAAATTGGCCAACTACTACTTATCGTGAGCTCCATTAAAAAACAGATAAAAAACAAAATGTCTGCAAGACTTCGTTATCTCTAATCGGTTGTGGAAGAGTGGGTTGAAGATGCTGAATTCAGTCCGGTTTTCTATTTCACTTGCGTCTACTGAATTAGTGCAGATGTTTCCCGAACATTCCATAAATAACTGCTTTATCGATTGATACCTTTTGTGTGCTAATTTCACATTCCAATCAATCTGGCCAACATGCGGTCATGTTAAATCAAATGTTTCAATTTTCTTACCTCCCTTCTTGTTGACGTTTGTAAAATTGAAGCAAGTTTGTCGGAGTTAGTTATTGTCTCGGTGCTACCGGTATCACCTGGACTCGGATTGGGTAGACATTTTACTTCTGTGTTGTCTTAGTGCTACCAGTATCATCTGGACTCGGATTGAGTAAAGATTTTACTTCTGTGTTGTATCGGTGCTACTGGTATCTCCCGGACTCGGATTGGGTAGTCATTTTACTTCTTTGTTGTCTTAGTGCTACCGGTATCATCTGGACTAGGATTGGGTAGACATTTTACTTGTGTGTTGTCTCGGTGCTACCGGTATCTCCCGGACTCGGATTGGGTAGTCATTTCACTTCTGTGTTGTCTCGGTGCTACCGGTATTATCTGGACTCGGATTGGGAAGTCATTTTACTTGTGTGTTGTCTCAGTGCTACCGGTATTATCTGGACTCGGATTGAGTAGTCATTTTACTTGTGTGTTGTCTTAGTGCTACTGGTATCATCTGGACTCGGATGGGGTAGACATTTTACTTCTATGTTGTGTCTGTGCTACCGGTATTATCTGGACTCGGATTGGGAAGTCATTTTACTTGTGTGTTGTCTCAGTGCTACCGGTATTATCTGGACTCGGATTGGGTAGTCATTTTACTTGTGTGTTGTCTCGGTGCTACCGGTATCTTCCGGACTGGGATTGAGTAGTCATTTTACTTGTGTGTTGTCTCAGTGCTACCGGTATTATCTGGACTCGGATTGGGTAGTCATTTCACTTCTGTGTTGTCTCGGTGCTACCGGTATCTTCCGGGCTAGGATTGGGTAGTCATTTTACTTGTGTGTTGTCTCGGTGCTACCGGTATTATCTCGACTCGGATTGGGTAGTCATTTTACTTGTGTGTTATTATCTGGACTCGGATTGGGTAGTCATTTCACTTCTGTGTTGTCTCGGTGCTACCGGTATCTTCCGGACTCGGATTGGGGAGTGGTATCAAAACATGATATGGCCAATATTGATCACTACAGTCTAAAATGTTTAATCTGCACAGTCTTCAATATGTATAAAACAAACATGTATAACTATTTGAGTGTTCTCTTACAACAAGATTATTTTGTCAGTGTTTACCAGCAATAGCGACAAATGTATCGTGTTTAATATCCCGGTAATAGAAATGGGTAAAGGACAGCAGAAAGCTAAAATGTGGCGTGTTTAATAAAAATGGGTCTTTTAATTAATTCAGATAACTTTTAAAGCCTTTAACTTGTCACCAAGGCGACGAAAGTTCGTGCTTTAATGAACGATGACTGTCCAGAATTAAAGTTTTTTCCCAGCAGACACCGCGGTGCCTAATATGGTGTTCAGGGGTGACATCATCTGGGCAACATCTCGTCCCTTGATGTACCAGGTTTCAAGAAACATTACACTCTTTCTCATTTAGTATCAAGAAGCTACGTGCACCCTCTCACGATGAATTCAGCTTGAATTATATGTAATTTGAATGAAAAACAAAACCTTCGGTCCTCTTGACGCTCTACATATATATTCAATCATGACTCCTTATTTCTTCCAATTGGTTTTGTTTGTAGCCATTCAGCAGGGTTGAGAGCCCAACAGCTTGCTGATGCTACAAACATCGTAACATATCGGATACGAGTTGTTCAACACGTTTCTTCTAGAAATGGTACACGAACCTCAAAACACAGACTATTGGTCATTGTACCTGATGTGTCGATAAAGTTTCAAAATTCAGATTATTTCTACAGAATACAAGGATAAAGCCAGTGAGAATATCTCCAAATAAACTACGGATAAAAATGTCTTAACTCATAACAAACCAGTAGAGGGACTCTAACCTGAGATTTAAGAGCTGTTGCTGAGTAATTAAAAACACATCGTCTATAATCTAAAGTAACAACGGGAAGATGTTAAGTTAACACTTAAAGAAATATAAGAATAAGTTACTTTTTTAAAACTCGTTATGATTAAACGTGTAACATGAAAATATTAAATCAATGTATACTCTTTGTAGGGAAATATCGCAGTAATAGAAATTGGTGGGTGGGTAAAAAGTACATTTTGTTATCTCTTAAGTGTTGCTTCTTACGATGGGGATCATAATTTAACAGTTTACGGATTCCTCACGTTTCGAAGAGATTAACCCTCCTCACAAGTTTGAAGGTTATCACACACGTTACACATTCATCACGTGGCGAGGAAGGCAGTGCAATAAAATAAAAACTGTTTCAATAAAGTTTGTTTATAATCATTGTTCAAAGTTACTCGCATAATTTATGATGTTTTGAGTATTGTCTTCTAAATGTTAATATCAAAAGATACGTACATATAATAGAATTCTATATTAAAGAATTTTCTGTTTGTTTGTTCTTGTGATTCCAAGCTTATAAGATACATTTATTGACACGTTTTTATCTGTCTTCGTAATCAGAACCGTTAGGTCGACTAATAACATACAGATTAGTTGGATGTCAACAATGACAGGTCTGTTGTCACTTCTCCATTTGTAGGGAGGGGGATTTACCCAGTGGTTTATTTACTCGTTAGGTTTTAGCGTTAAGAGGGAAGCGAGGAGTGGAGTGATTGGGTAAGTAACACAGTTTTATCTCGCGCGTAAGAAGAGTAAAGCGTGGCTTCTGTTTTAAAATATCAATGAAACTGTTTCTTGTTTTGTAGTGGGGCCTCTTTTTCGAAGCTGGTGCTGGTGAAAGGGAACGGAGAAGTCCTGTGTTGGGTGGACGGTCCCTGTACGAATCATTTGGTAAGTACTAGTATTAGTGTAAGGTATACAAACAAAATGTATGGATATTATCAATCTACCTAGATATTTGTATTTGGACAGAAGTGACGGACTGGATTACGTGAGAACTGTTCTCTAATCCAACAGATAGTGTCTGTTTGTTCTGTTTTATACCAGAAATCAAGTGTGTTTATAATTGTTCTAGCCTCTGTAATTAGATAGCTTGTTTAAGTGTGTTTTTAACCGTTCGAGCCTCTGTAATTGGATAGCTTGTTTAAGTGTGTTTTTAACTCGGTATAATTTGTATGGTACTTATTTTTAATGATTGGTAGGCTGGCACAAGAAATGCATGTATGTAGCCCTAGAACAGTGTAGAGTTGACAGGTACGAGGGCCTTGAAAGGTGTGATAAAAAGAATGTCGGGTCTTGGGGGGCAATTAAAAATTAAACATGCAGGGAAATTAGGCTGTAAATTGGTACAGCACCATAAGTCTCTCTCTATGATCTGAGTGTATGAATATTTTGAGTGAGAAAGGACTGTTACACACCCTTCACTAAAGTGACCAGTTTTCTTTGGCAACAAAATACCTACAGAACGCCAAACAATTGTAAAAATTAGATTTTTATTTAAGGCACAGATTTCGCAACATAATTTTCTAAGCTGACTTGTCATTTGGTCTATATGACATATAAAATGGTTAATTGGTTAAAACATAAATAAGTGATTTTGTTCTTTTGTTAACAGCTCGTTGGTAAAGATGAATGTCAGAACAGAATTTCTACAATGATTGAAAAAGCTAAAAAAGAAGCTGGGATCGACCCTAAAATACCCTTAGGAGGATTGGTAAGTTATCCTTAGTCAGACACTCAAACATTAGGAAAAAAATAATAAAATTCAAAAATAATATCCTTTCAAATGGTAAATCAGCTTTTATTAAAACTGTCTTCATAAAATATTTTTAAACTTATGTTCGTTATAAACCTATCTACATGTTTTAATATTTATTTCAACGAATTATTGGTGCATTCGGAACTAAGTTGTAACACTCTGTAGAGACCGTTGTTAATTAGTTAAATATTTAAGAACGTAACCATTAAATCAAAATGATACCACCTTAAAGTGTAACCACGTCCCTTTATTAATTATGTAACCAGTACAGATGTAACTCTTTTTCATGCATTCCTGTTCGAAATGAATGGGCCTCAAAGGGAAGGTTTTACTGGTTCAACTTACCTTCTGTTATATAACCATTACAGATGTAACCCTACTCTTCGTGGAGTCTTGTTCGAAATGAATGGGCCTCAAAGGGAAGGTTTTACTGGTTCAACTTACCTTCTGTTATACAACCATTACAGATGTAACCCTACTTTTCGTGGAGTCTTGTTCGAAATGAATGGGCCTCAAAGGGAAGGTTTCGCTGGTTCAACTTAACTTCTGTTATGTAACCATTACAGATGTAACCCTACTCTTCGGGGATATCTGTTCGTAATGAATGGGCCTCAAAGGGAAGGTTTCGCTGGTTCAACTTACCTTCTGTTAAATAACCATTACAGATGTAACTCTACTCTTCGTGGTTCCTGTTCGTAATGAATGGGCCTCAAAGGGAAGGTTTCGCTGGTTCAACTTACCTTCTGTTAAATAACCATTACAGATGTAACCCTACTCTTCGTGGAGTCTTGTTCGAAATGAATGGGCCTCAAAGGGAAGGTTTTACTGGTTCAACTTACCTTCTGTTATATAACCATTACAGATGTAACCCTACTCTTCGTGGAGTCTTGTTCGAAATGAATGGGCCTCAAAGGGAAGGTTTTACTGGTTCAACTTACCTTCTGTTATACAACCATTACAGATGTAACCCTACTTTTCGTGGAGTCTTGTTCGAAATGAATGGGCCTCAAAGGGAAGGTTTCGCTGGTTCAACTTAACTTCTGTTATGTAACCATTACAGATGTAACCCTACTCTTCGGGGATATCTGTTCGTAATGAATGGGCCTCAAAGGGAAGGTTTCGCTGGTTCAACTTACCTTCTGTTAAATAACCATTACAGATGTAACTCTACTCTTCGTGGTTCCTGTTCGTAATGAATGGGCCTCAAAGGGAAGGTTTTACTGGTTCAACTTACCTTCTGTGGGATCTAAACATCCATCCACGTGTTTGCCACGCGTGGTCACCAATGAAGTGATCAAGAGGAGCTTGGTAAATTGAGTGGTGCCAGGTCGCAAAAATACGCATGTTTGACATTGAATGCTGCCGCCTTTGGTCTATATCGGCTGTTCAATATTGACTGTGGTCAATTGAATACTGGTGGCGGATATCACTTACTGGTGATTGGACAGTAAGTCTATTACTAGTATTTTGTTACTGTCCACGAAAGCATTACATTACACCGTTCTATGCTTTAGCAGTGTTGCACGGCCTCATAAGTATTCCCATATAGACCCCCGTTTTTTCTTTTTAGTGTGACCCTAAGAAGGACCTACACTGACCACTTTGCACGAGCTTTGTAAAATAAAAATAGCAACCTGTGCCTCACTTTATTTTCTTTCATTCTCTGTCTGATAAATAACTAGATAAAATGCCATCTTTCTTTAACCAGATGGGCTGCTGCACAATAAGATCGGGGTGACGTCATGATGGTGGAATGGTGACGTCATCTTGATAGGTGCGACGTAATGAGTTACGTAACTTTTGTTTGTTTACGCGCTCTACTTCGTTTATAACACAACTCGTCGAACGTGACTCATAAGCAGTTCTTATTTTGAGAAAATAAGAACACAAGTTATTTAGATACTTCATTAAACTTCACGAAACACACCATTTTACGTTATCTTCCACGATAAACATAAATCATGACAATTTCACTTAATCTTGTTTCAATATATTAGGCTAACATTATAGTACGTTTAACCTAATATCACTTAATACCGTACATAACGTATCTTTTAGAATGCTACCTTAATACATTTTATTTAGTTTCAGTCCATAACACATTGTATCGATTCATACGGCACGTATTTCCATAATACATTTTACTTCGTTTCAGTCCATAACACACAGTATCTATTCATACGACACGTATTTCCATAATACATTTTACTTAGTTTCAGTCCATAACACACACAGTATCGATTCATACGGTACGTATTTCCATAATACATTTTACTTAGTTTCAGTCCATAACACACACATTATCGATTCATACGGCACGTATTTCCTTACTACATTTTACTTAGTTTCAGTCCATAGCACGTAGTATCTTTATTCGGTCTTTCCGAAGAGTACATACAGTACAGATCTCTCCTAGCCAGCTGGGACACAAACAATTGTAATATTTTGTACGGTGTAAACGGTGTTTACTAGAGAAGTATGACTTCACGTAATGACGAAGTTAAAATCGTATTATACATATTTTCGGAAAGACCCAAGAGGACCGAATAAAAAAAGACAGTGTCTTGAAAATACCATTAGCATAAGAATGTTGTCTTATGATAATTATAATTATAATATACTTTTTATGGACTAGTATTTAAGGTGAAATTTTAAATTCTAGTCGTGCTACGGCTTCTGGTAGCCCTAATTCCACTTAAGTTTTAATGTAGTAGTCTAATGTGTATATAATAAGTTATCCAGATTGGCAGCCTGTTGTACAGCTTTTACCAAGGCTACGATGTTAATTAGAAACAAGAAAAATGCATGAAATGTAGCTTCAAACTGGTATTGCCTCCTTGACCTATTAATTTCCACTGGGACTGTGACTGGTGTAACCACACCCACTTGCTGGACTAGAGCACGTGTATTTTTCTGGGAAAATAATTCGTTAACAATTTCTCAAAAATTTACAAACTTCCTTGTAGGCATATCTGATCCACGTATAACTACGTAATAAGTAAGCGTTATCTGCGACTTGTATGAAATCTGAAATGTTAAAAACAATTGTATGAAAATTCATTATTTCAATTTTTGATTATTTTACGACACAAAATAATTGTGAAAGTTGAAAGATGTGTAGTTATTGTCAGCATTTATTTTACTAAATGAATATTATAGAACGTGTAGTGAAGCTGGTCTTGATAGTTATCTAGTGTGTAAGTATAGTGAAGCTGGTCTTGATAGTTATCTAGTGTGTAAGTGTAGTGAAGCTGGTCTTGATAGTTATCTAGTGTGTAAGTGTAGTGAAGCTGGTCTTGATAGTTATCTAGTGTGTAAGTGTAGTGAAGCTGGTCTTGATAGTTATCTAGTGTGTAAGTGTAGTGAAGCTGGTCTTGATAGTTATCTAGTGTGTAAGTGTAGTGAAGCTGGTCTTCATAGTTATCTAGTGTGTAAGTGTAGTGAAGCTGGTCTTCATAGTTATCTAGTTTGTGCAAGTGTAGTGAAGCTGGTCTTGATAGTTATCTAGTGTGCAAGTGTAGTGAAGCTGGTCTTGATAGTTATCTAGTTTGTGCAAGTGTAGTGAAGCTGGTCTTGATAGTTATCTAGTTTGTGCAAGTGTAGTGAAGCTGGTCTTGATAGTTATCTAGTTTGTGCAAGTGTAGTGAAGCTGGTCTTGATAGTTATCTAGTTTGTGCAAGTGTAGTGAAGCTGGTCTTGATAGTTATCTAGTTTGTGCAAGTGTAGTGAAGCTGGTCTTGATAGTTATCTAGTTTGTGCAAGTGTAGTGAAGCTGGTCTTGATAGTTATCTAGTTTGTGCAAGTGTAGTGAAGCTGGTCTTGATAGTTATTTAGTGGAAAATTCTCTGTTTATTGGTCATCATAATACATTTTTGTGTAATTGTCATCTACTCTTTAGAGTTTCAGTAAATAATCTAGAAAATAAAAGAATGAGATGTTATTGTTTTGATGTTTAGTTCCACTGGGTAGAAGTTTTGTGTCTGTAATGTCTAAGGTTTCTTTGAAAATGTTCGCATACAAAGTTTCTGCGAATCTTGTAGAGTCACTTCAGGGTACAGAGATCCTGTTTAACCAAGTTTCATGTTGTGCCGATATCTGTATAGAGGAATGCATTAGTTAGGCTTGACAAGTATACATTCGTAAGTGAAATTGTCACAAAAATGATTTAAAACAACGTATTTATCAGAATACTAACCAGTTTATCCCTGAGTTAGAAAACAAAAGACTGATTTGGCTAATCAGGAATTAAAAGAAATGTTTGTTTTAACGTAATCTAAGAATTTTGTCTCTAATGGACTGTTCCTTGTGGTTAAACAATTTCATTGTTTACCAATCGAAGCTGACCAACGACTTCCTAATCTAGGGAGTTAGACTACAGAAAAGTAGTGGTTTTGTAGTTTCATATTTGTAACATTAATTTATTTAAGTGAATCTCGTAGCTTTGGTGTCATAACAATAACTATATTAATACCGAATACAATTTGTTAAAAATGTTTAATTCCAGCTCCAGAACCGAACTTTTACCGTGTTTATTGTTTTGTATTAATTACTCTACCTGGAACTAGAAGTTTATGAACTTTAATTAAAAACATTTCCATGAAATATATATATATATATATATATATATTAGACATTCTAAAACCGATTGTACATACTTTAACCAGTTAAGATAGAATATGTGGCTAACATGAATATTCCATATCATCCTTTGTTGTTTTGTTCACAACGAATTGTTTATCGTTTTCATTTAACAGTCCTAACCGGTCCACATTTAACCATTCATGTTTTTTTATTGACTTGTTTTTGTTCATCACGTGTACCGACTAATTATTCTTTATCTCCGCTAGGGTTTAAGTATGAGTGGGTGCGAGCGGGAAGAAGAGAACCGTAAATTTGAGGATGAATTTCTTATAAGATTTCCAAACTTGACAAGATCTGTTTCAGTTTCGAGTGACACAGTCGGGTCTGTACTTACAGCAAGCCCAAAAGGTACTTTAAAAACAACTAATTTTGTAATATATATTCCAGAAGCTTGTGAATCATAAATTATTTTGTATTATGCTTGTACTGGATTTGAGAACGAAGAAATGTCTAACTTATTCGACGAAATCGTGGAAACCAATGATGTTTTAATAATTGTTCTCTGTGTCACGTAATAAATAATGATGGGTGTCAGTCTACTCAACACTCTTTTCCTCATTACATATGCATGATTTTTAGTTGCTGATTCATTTGAAGAGCTCGTGACCACGTGCCATTAAACACATTCATTTGGCAATATCCCAACGTGTTATCTCAAATTCTATGAAAAATTATGTAAACCGTGTTGCAATCCTTCAAAGTTTACAACTGTATCTGCCGCAGTTAGTCACGTGTTGATAACCCGGTACAATATTTAGAACACTGCCAATGTCAAGGACGACCAGTTTCCCAATGTTTATCAGTTTGAAGTGTGTGTGTGTACTGTTAGACGTATCGTTTATAACTTTTATTAAAATTGTATGTATACAAAAGTTATTTTTTTCGAGTGTTGAATGTAGAGAACACGTTTTTAGATACAAGGAGAACTAACGCACGAGGAAGTTGCTGAAAGTTTTGTTTTGAGTGACAAACTAGTTATGAAATGTCTGAATATCAAATACGTAAAACTGGTATAAGTATATTATAAATCTTAACTAATGTTTGAATTATGGCCGAAAATAGCGAGGTTATGGTGCTGATGAAATAATGCATTCTAATAATTATAAGCAATGATTAAATTAATTTTACTTCTTATCTATGTAGTAGCTTGTCGTTAATAGTAACATGTTTATTGATTGCTCTTCTAAGTAATTACCGGTAGCATTCCTTTTTTTTCTCTTTTCAATATCATAAATTTCAACACCAAACAGTTTCAGAAGCTTTTCGACAAGTAAGTTTATCTAAAATGAAGTATTTGAAATGTTTCATTCTGACAAGGGAATGACTATACAACTTACGTATAGAATATACCAGTGTCGATGTATGTGGTGTTTATAAAAGTTGATAAGAATGCTGACTGGATGAACTGGTATTGGGTAGGAATGAGTACACGTTTTAGCTGAAACAAAGTCCAACATAAAGTGAAATGATGATGTAATTAAAAAAAAATCAACTTAAATCGGTACTAAGTCACATTTTTCATTTATAGCTGGTCTCGTATTTAAAATATGTGTGTTTTCTATAAGGAAGATAAAAACCCTTTCTGTATTTACCTTTCCATAACCTAAATTTCTGTTGCTTTCAAAATTTTATTACTAACGGCTCAAGCCAGATAAGGCTTAGATCAGTGTCACTTCTTATGGTATTAATATTCTCAAAACGACGGTATTTGAATAAAGTTAGTGTAGGTTTGGTAAAGTTTAGTGACGTTATTCGTGTAAATACTCGATATGATGATTACTGAATACGTATTTGTGTCATCCATACTAGAAACGAACATGTTGGTTTACCACAAGCCAGCCAGTCTTTCGATAAGTTTAAGTCTAGTGTATGTGTTACTAGCTTTATTTAGAAACGATTAATTAGACTGTATATAATATGTCAACCACACTATAACTGCTATATCCAGTACCAGGGTTCTTTAGCCCGGGTGGGTTAAGATACACAGTATTGTTTGAGACTCTTTATTTATTAACAGAATTGCTTGACAACAACTGGGTTAATTAATTCCTGTTTTACTTTTATACAAGTCAATCTGTCAGAAAGCTGGTCATTTAAACGTCACTTTTAATCATTTTAATTTATTAGCTCTACGAAGTACGTGTAGCTTTAATAACGTTCAGGTGTGATAAAAAAAAATCAATTTTGTTTCCAGAGGTTGGTAGTTTAAAATCCTTTTAAACTCTTATCGCCGGTCAGATTTCACCAAAACCTCATGAAATGTTTGTTGTTTTTTCAGTGAAATGTACACAGACTTTAAGTGTTAACATATCGAGATTGCCTAGTATTACCAGTTTACATAGTTGACCTGATTTGCAGTCAAACATTCATGAAAAACTGTATTGGGTGGAGTAATAGTTCCCCCTGGTGGTCAGGTACATGTACTTAATTGAACAGTCAGGATTGTTGACGCTGTTTAGACTTTAACCTACCACTCCCAATACTTATCTTACTCTAAGTGTTGTAAATATAGTAAAGGTTATTGACCAAAGAGTGACACCCATAATTGTAATTCATAAAATTCGATGAACGTGAATTACAGCTATGCCGATGTTGACCCGAACTTTATACTGACCTTACTTGCTGTAAACCAACCTCGTGACAAGTAGCATATACCTAAATGGATTTTAACAATAGGTCCGATAAATAAACTAACACAGATAAGTATAAGTATAACGACCATTTATTTTACATACGAAAGTTTTCTACATATTCATGTACAGGTAAACTGTAAGGTATAACACGTATTTTAACAACTGTGGCCTGTTTCACATTTGTTTGTCTATGTTACCTGTTCTATTTGCAACACCTGTCGTTCATGTGACTTGGAATAACACCGACGTGTTGTAACCATGCACCAGGTGGCATGGTGCTTATTGCAGGTACAGGTTCCAATGCCTTGGTTATCAACCCAGATGGTACCACAGCACGATGTGGAGGATGGGGACATCTGATTGGAGATGAAGCTTCAGGTATTAAGTTCTTTTAGTTGCAACGATGTTCGTGACAGTGTACTTATCTTCTGGTTAAGAGCTGGTTTTATTAGCTAGGTTAAAAGGGCTTTTAAACTTTAAAGACAAACAGCATACACTGAATATTTTGTTATTTCAACTAGGGATGTGTTGCAGAAGGCTCTGCGGTCGAATAAAATAACACCAATGCTAAAATCTATAACAACTGTTATTACCACCGCTGTATAAAATCTAAACGAATGTGTTTTGCTCACCTCCAGTTTCTTCCTCTCTATTCTCCATTCCCAGGAAGAATTCCAGCTTAGAATGTCTTGCCATTAAGCTAAGTAAAAGAGCTCTTCATCAGAAGATAAGGCTTAAGTATTACAACGGAAGTGTTAAATTTCCAATTAACAACCAACATGATGTCATAATGTTAGGCATAGAATTTTTTTTATTACATTTCTTGATGTGTTTTGGCGGCGACTGATCGCCTTTCATACAGACGAACGTTTCGTACAAACCTGTTATGCGCATATGACGCAAGTTTTAAAGATGTACGTGTGTTGTTACGACGGGTCAACCTAGACCAAATCGACCCGGAGTCGCCGAAACGAGAAAGTATGAAAAGCGTTTAAAGTTGGTGTTCCTCAGTCAGTTTATATTTAATTTACTTTTTAAAATGTTCTTTGAGATTTAGTTTGAATATATAATAAAATTGCAACCAGTAATTGTTCTCATTTTGATATTACAAGTTTGCAGAAGTATTTCACGTACACACACACACACACACACACACACACACACACACACACACAGCTACTTGAATAATATCACCACTAGGCTTAGAGAACGCAGCCCTGTGCTAGGAAATGAAAAAAAACAAAAAAACGTTAGGATTTGTTCGAATTGTTTTTTTTTTCTTCCATCTCGTCTTCATTAAAATCAGTTCAGTTTATTTTGCATGATCGTAATGTATAAGCTATAGAATAGAAGACTTTAAATTGTTAATAAAACACGATAAAATATATCCTTCCAAACGTTTTGCTGTATCAGTCTTATGAATGGATTAATTTCATTGGAAGTGATGAAGCTGATACAACAATATCACTGGAAACAAGAATATTTTATCTGGTGAATAGACCTTCTTATTAGGTTCATGGTTAGTCGCATGCAAAGTTTGTTTCCACTATTCTGGATCATGTTTATATATTTATGTACCTTGTTCTAACATTTTCATTTGTTGTTAGGTTAATATTTTCTGATTTGATCGTTAATATAAATATACTTTCTGATAGCTTTCTGGATATCTCGTAAAGCCATAAAAATCATCTTTGATGCAGAAGACAATTTCGATGTAGCTCCTCACGATATAACCCGTGCAAAGGAAACTGTTCTAAAACACTTCAAGGTACAGTTGATGTTTACAGAGCTTGAGTAAAACAGTTTCTTCATGTTTAACGTTATGTCGTGTACAAACGGAATATAAGAACTCTGGATTATCTAATACTTGAACCTCGGTCACTACCGATAAAACTAAAAATAAATTTTAGAACTAATATTTTTGGTATTTAAGCATTTTAAATATGGTTGTATTTAAAATGCTTAAATAATAAAAAAAAATATAAATTTTGAATATAATTGTACATAAATTTAGCTAATTGAAAAAACATTTCAGACAGAAAACTTAACTAAAATGTTGATTTTTTTTTATTTTTCTTTGAATTTGAAAAAGACATCTGTAGAAAATGAATCATATTAATTATTATTTAGGTTTTTAATGATTGTTCATCTTCTTTAAAGATGAATCAAATTAATTATTATTTAGGTTTTTAATGACTGTTCATCTTGTTTAAAGGTTCAAGATAAATCCGAGCTTCTGAGCCACTGCTATGTTAACTTTTCAAAGTCTTTCTTCGCTGGTGTGTGTGTTAAATTAGCACAAGGTAAGTTAACTGTAAAGGATAGTAATATATGGTTCAACCGGGAATATTTTGGAACTCAATGTTGGTGTTAATGCTTTAAAAAATCCTGACGCTGTCCATTATCTGTTTAACATTTAACTTTGAAGTAACAATATCTTTATTGTTTTCCTAGGTTTTAGTCTAGTTCATTTGGTTAACATTGGGGGTTGAGCAAATGAAAACTGGCAC